GAGCACACTTTGTTCTACTTGTGATCCAAAACTCACTTCTATATTACGTAAAATAAAGAAGAACGAAGAAAAATAAAATGAATTTTTAAAATTTTGATCCGAATTACCCCATGCGACTGTAATATTAATACAGTTTTTTCTCTGTTATAAAATAAAAACAAATGAAAGGAAGGAAAAAAAAATTGAAGAACGAACGAAAAAAAACAGCAATATAGAACAGTACACTGGCAGTTACACTCGTATCCTTGCACAAAATGCAAGCTACCTTGTGAAGATGTCATGCTTCATTGATAATTATAAAAAAGCAAAAATAAGAGAAAAAACAGATAATTTTGTTAACGACATAATCGTATCAAAGCTAGTTGCGATTAATAAGAAGATAACGTCCATATATTGCAGCATGATTCGAATCGTAAGTATACTTTCTTGTCATAATATATAAACTATCGAGAAAATTATACAAATAGGACTAAAGAGATGCTGCAAGTATAATGAAAAAGCGATGAAATATAGAAATAAAGCATGATTTGACTGTTGATCGTTAAAGAGTAATTTTTAGTGAGTCCAGGTTGAGAATTCTTCTACCTCTTGTGTTCACCACACGCCTTTCGTGCAAAATTACCTACTTGTTTAGAAGCAATCGTTTTCATGTCAGTTCGATAAGGTATACTTTTTAAACCAAATGAAACGAAACAAATCCATAGTTTATTAAGTGCAAATAGAGAGATTTGTACAACAAGAAGAAACAGGGAAATCCGAAATGACCTTCTTCTTTGTTGAAATATTTATATGAAGAACATGTGCTTCGATTAATGAAGAGAAGAACACCCGTCGATATGTTGTCCCAACATAAAATTGAAGAACAGATAGAAAAAATAATAACGAAGATGAAAAGAGAAGGTGAAATCATATTTTGTATAAAGCCATATTAAAATTCACTAGATGAAGCGTATCACAGCCCATGTGTAAAGAGTTATGAATATGGTAATAATTGGTTTTCAAGATTAAATCCCTTTTTTGCGTGCTTCAAAGTTCAAAAGTGTTTTTTTCGGATTCACCGTGAAAAATTCAAAGTAGAAAAATCATGTATGAGGCTAATCAGATACAACATGGTCGTAATTCAGGTACTACAAGAGTGAAAAGATTCAAATCTCGAACAAACATTTGGTAAAGTCATCAAGTTTTTTCTACAAAGAGATACAACTATCTTTCACATCTCATTAGAATCGCTAGAGGCTGTACATTAAAGTCACAGCTCGGATTTTTCGAGATTTAACTTAGTTGCTGATAAAACTTATGTCTATTGACACTCATGCCCGAGTTGGCTTTTCTGAATCTATATCTACCATTTCCCTGAAGTTAGCACCCACATATTCAAAATATACATGTGTTCGAGATCATCAAAAAAAATTTAGCCGATGTATAGAAATTTCAAAGTATTCTTAGTACTCTTAGTTACAAAACGCTTGTCCGAAATTCAGGCCTCTCCACTATTGTAATATCTGAATAGCCTCATAAATGACTTTTCTAGATCCAATTTTTCATACTGAATCTGAGCAAACAAAAAAATTGACAATTTGTCCGAAAAAGTAAGTGATTGAAGAAAACTGAAATTTTTCCTCTAAAACCTCATTCTAAAAAAATGAAAACATCTGTTTTCTTGAGCCACCTGTTTGACTGCATATAATCATGTAAAGAAAACGATTCTGCTAATTTTGAATTTCTGGCACTATACATATCTTGTCATGTCGTTCGCAACGACTTCTGTAAAATAGAAGATCAAAATGAATGTGAACGTTATTCATCATTCTTTATCTCAAATTTTGCAGAAAAATAATCATAAGTAACATTTGTGTTTTTTCTACTTTCCGCAGTACGAAATTTATTTGCGAATAAATTGACAAAGAATACATACATTATTGTGTTATGACTATTTGATTAAAGGTTCATTGAACATAGTCGAATAAACAGATTAAAATAACTTCAAATCAGCTGCATTGCTTCATTTATTCATTATTAGTTTTGATATATATAGAATAAAAAAAAGTGAAATGTGTATCTCACAAAGTTACAGAAGAACTTTTCAGTCAGTGGAAATGCTTGAGAAGTTAAAGGGACTATTCTGTTGTATCTAGTTGAAATATTAGGCAGATGAAGTTTGTACATAACATAACGAGATATCTTTGAAAAAAACAACAAGCGATACTGTACAGAATTTTATAATGAGATTCAGAAGACAAAAATAAAAGCAAAATTTTTGACTCACTCACTCTTTATTGTTATTATGATTGAAAATAATTTCATTGTGATTTCTAAGGATGACTACTCATCGACGAGTAAGACAATGAATGCATTGAAAAAGGAAAAAACAGCACCGAAAAAAGATGCCGACAGCTCGAATCAACAAACGGTGATCACGTTGGATGCTACAGACACGAATCTTCAAGAACGAATAACCCAAGAAGAGATCAACAAGCAAAATGAGAATGTAGCCACTTTGTACGATGATCGTGAGGGAAAACCTGAAAGAAAAGTCATGCATGATGACAGTAAGATTGGAAGTGAATTATCATACACACCTAATGAACGTAAAACAGATTTTAGTGAAGAACAAACTGATGACAATCAAAGGCAAAGAGTCGAAGTAATGAAAGATGGTCGTGTTGCAACTGATCAACAAATGAGTGAAAGGCATCACGTTTCAGGAGATCTCATTGTAGTTGAAAATCAACAAATATCCAAGGAAATGAATAACAATGACACGGATTTCGCTCCAATTGTTGCGTATGCTCAGGAGCCTTTGTTGTCTCTTCCTGAAGCATGTGCTCCTCTAAATGATATTCTTTATGATTTATCGGTCTATGTGCAGTTGGCGCTAGATGAAACTCCTGAAAATCCACCTGATGGATTGACAATTGATGAGAGTGCTGCGGTTCGTCTCTACACAATCGAATGGGAAAGACCACATCGAAGCCTATATTCAATGCTCAATTACACTCTTAAAAATGCTAATCGTGAAGAACTTCGACCTTATTTTAACTATCTAAAACTATTCTTGACTGCAATAGTCAAAATTCCATGTGTTCCACCATTGACTGTTTGGCGAGGAGTTACAAAAAATTTGAGCGCTGAATTCCCACCTGGTACTCCAGTAACATGGTGGTCATTTTCTTCATGTACAACATCATTGACTGTATTGGAGAATAGCATGTATTTGGGCAATACAGGAGCAAGAACACTATTTTCTGTTGAAGCTATCAATGGACGAACAATTCGTGCTCACTCACATTTCGTTACAGAAGAAGAAATTCTTCTTCTACCTGGTACTCATATGATAGTGCAATCACAATTGAGTCCAGCAACTGATCTTTATATTATTCACTTGAAACAAGTCATACCAGAGCAAACCTTACTTGAACCTCCTTTCGAAGGTAGTATTCAAGATTTCAGTTTTCTATTGTAAAATATAGACTTTTTCTTTTTAGGCGCACATATATATCCAGAACCGAAGTAAATTTCATTTTATATTCACCTAAAACTGTTTTTTGATATAAAGACTTGTTAATTCTATTTTGCAGACGTCCGTGGTATAAAAAGAAGCGTTTTTTTGTACCTCTATCTTTATTGATAATTTTATCTATTGGAGCAATTATTATTGGCTCTGTTCTTGGATCACGAAAACAAGCCAATATCTTAAGTATGCTTTTTCTTGAATGATATTTTCATTTGCATTTACAGCAATATTCCTTACTTTAACTTGTATCAGTCCCATTGAGTATGTATCGAAACAGACTCGATGAAAAATATATAAGTCCAAGGCATTTCTATTCACAAACATACTAGTGAAATCGAACAGAGAATAGTACCCAGAAAGTTCATCCCATGCTTTCGTTTTTTAGCGATATTTCTGCCGTGTTTCTGAATGGATCCATATTGCTGTTTCGAGTATGAGCGTAGTTATTGGTATTGAAGTGAAATGCCTCTTCACACGTCCACATTCCACATGGTTACGTGATTGCATCTAAATAAATGTCAACACCGATGATGTAGGTACCTGAATGCGAACAGCTGTAGATGATTGTGATGTGACTGTGTGGAAAAGTTAGTAAAAGTACAGATGGACACAGTTGTCTTTAGAAGTACAACTAGAAGTCTTCATGCTTGTGAGTAAAGCGAAAACTCTAGTCAAAACAAATGAACACGTAGCCACCGACGTACACCAACGTTCAATCTAATGAACGCTCACACATTCACACCCACAGCCTATAAGACAGTTGTCTTATGCAATTTTGCTCGAGTCTTCATTTTCAGTTCTTCTATAAAAGCATTAAAATAGTCGCATATTTATTGCAATTTGTGGAGAAGTTTCCAAGCACTGTATAGAAATATAAAGTTTTGTTTAGCTTAACTCAACCTATCGCATGGCAATTTTTTATGTGAGAATGTAGTACAAATACTTCTTTGAGTTTGCCCTCGGGGATATTCGCATTTTAAATATTTTGCGACAACTGCAAGAATGTTCTATATAAGTGAAATGGAATATAATTTCATGGAATAAGACCCGAGCTAGATGAACACTTGCCAGTTTTGATTCCTACGTTCATATTGTCATAGTTTCCATTGGCTGACTTGTCTCATGTAAAATTGAACACTACGCGAAAACGAAAATGTGAACTATGAATAACTTTGAATCTTCTTGTTTTAGTGTACCAATGCAGTGACCCTTATCCATCACCAAAGACCTCGGAAACTGGAAAATTACCAGTTGCTGTAGTGTTCGGAAATTTCAAAAGTGTCAATCAAGTCGATTTGGCAGTACTCAACTATGATGATCGAAGTGTTGATATACTTCTTGGTAATGGGAAAAATGACTATGAAACTGAATCACACTATCATACAGATGTCGCACCAAATTCTGTGTTTAATATTGATCTAAACCATGATGGACTAATAGATATTATAGTAGCAAATGGTGATGATGACAGCATTAGCGTTCTAATTGATAATGACGACGAAACATTTCACAGTTCGATCGAATATTTAGTCGGTAACAATCCAGTGTCAGTCACAGGAGGTGATTTCAACAATGATACACTCATAGATATATTAGTAGCAAATGCTGACGATGACACAGTTAGCTTAGTGTTAGGTGATGAAGAAGGTACATTTTCTGATATTCAAACTGCTTTTGACGTTGGTTCAAAACCTGTCCATGTCATATCAGGTGATTTTAATCAAGATGAAATACTCGATTGGGCAGTTATCAATCAAGTTGACAATACTATCAATGTGGCACTTGGATATGGAAATGCTACCTTTGATAATTTACAGACTTATAGCGTTGGTGCCACACCAATCTCTATGACATGTCATGATTTTAATAAAGATGCTAAAGTAGATTTGGTAGTAGTAAACTATGGTGATAATAGTATTAGTGTGCTGTTTGGTAAGGGAGATGGAACGTTTGAAGTTCAAATCGTTTACGAAGTTGGTATGAGTCCAAGTGCTGTTGTGACAGCTGATTTTAATAATGATAGCAAGATGGATTTAGCATTAACTCTATCGAATGAATCTTCCATTGGTGTGTTATATGGCAATGGTAATGAAAGCTTTCAGAAACCTGTAATATATAAGGTTGGTACTTCTCCAAGTGCTCTGAGAGCAGATGATTTTAACAACGATGGTAGAGTAGATCTGGTAGTAGCAAATTCTGGAGAAAACACCTTCAGTATATTGATTAATGATGGTAATCAAACATTTCAGAATCAAATAAAATATGCCACTGGTCTGAATCCAGTGGCAATAACTTCGGCTGATTATGATAATGATAAAAGAATCGATGTGTTAGTGGTCAATAAGGGAGATAATAGTGTCTCCTTGTTACTAGGTAATGGAGATGGAACATGTCGTGGTCGAATGCCATACAGGCTTCAGAAGATAGCTGGTTCGATGGCAGCAGGTGATTTCAATAATGATACCAAATTGGATTTAGTATTGACTAACACAATCGATTACAGTATTACTCTACTTCTCGGAAGTGGATATGGTACCTTCCAATCTGAAATAATATATAAGACTCATTCTCAACCAAATTTCGTAGTAGTTCATGATTTGAATAATGACAAGATGTTGGATCTAGTTCTTGTCAATCAGCACAATGACAGCATCACTGTGTTGCTCGGGAATGGTGATGAGATTTTTCAAAATGGAACAAGATTTGCCACTGCTGAACGACCAAGTTCGGTAGTGGTTGATGATTTCAACAACGATAACAAACCAGATCTAGCAGTCACCAACTTAGGTGCTAATAATATCGTGGTCCTGTTGGGAAATGGAAACGGTACTTTTCAGACTTATAAGACGCTTAAGTGTGGTACTAGTCCCAACTTTATAATATCAATTGATCTAAATCGTGATCATGTCATGGATCTTGTAGTGGCTAATCTCGGTGATCATACGATTAGTATTTTATTTGGCTTGGGAAATGCAACTTTTCAAATTCAAATGAAATACGATGTTGATAGGGAACCAAGTCATGTAATGGCAGGTGATTTTAATAATGACAATAAAATGGATATAGCAGTAGTTGGTCGTCTTTCGCATAATATGCAAGTGTTGTTTGGTGATGGAAATATGACATTTTCAAGTCGAAAACGGTATGGAACAAGTAGTAGTCCTGGTCCTGCTGTGGCTTATGACTTCAACAAAGATGGAAAAACTGATATTGCTGTGCTGAATAAACTTTCTAACATATTATATATTTTCCTAAATGAATGTTCATAAATATTCAACAAACGTTTTATTTATACTTGTATCTATTGATTATTCATGCAATAAATGAAGTAGATATGGACTTTGTCATGTTAAAAGTTTTCTTTTTTCATGTTGATAGATTCAGCTATTATTTTCTATTATAGTTTCATTTTCGTTTTTGTTATTTGCAAATATCAAAAGTTAATGAGACTAGGCAACATATTAGAATGATAAATGAACTGCAAAACAAGTACATCCCCAGGCGAGCAAAGGACGGGTAAAAAGACTAGTCTCATATCTAGTCCTGACGGGACGTCCTGTATAGTCTTTTTCTCAAATCGGACTATACCATGACTAGTCTGGAAAAAGTTGTCGTCCATAATACCCGTCCAGACTATGTTACTGATGGGCGTCATTGGCTTTGACATGTCTAGTCTGTTTCACTAAAAAGACCCGTCTAGGACTAGTAAGAATCACTAATAGGTGGACTAGTCCTGTAGGAGGACTTTTTGAGAAAAAGATTAGTCAGAACGGGTAACAGCGACACCACATAGAACAAGTTGTAGTCTTGTGTAGTGGACGAGTTCGGACTAGTCTAAATGAAAATGTGTAAAGATGAAAGTTAGATTCGAACATGCATACAATGTGTTACTTACCCATCGTTTAGACCATTGAGTCATATGATCAGCAGATCAACTCTACACATACATAATCATTCTAAGATGCTATTTAATATAATTTTATTCCACGTTTTTGATGTTCGCATTTAAATAAAAAATTATCGTTTACAAAATAGGTCATTAATTAAATAACACTAGATAAAACAAAGTCAAAAAAATTTATATTTTTTGGATAAATATTTTTTATTACTATTAAGTAGGAATAATTAGTTATGTTAAAAAAATTAATTTTAAATGCAAAAATAAAAAACAATTTATATTGAAAAGAAACTCGATTTTTCATATCATGATTTAGTTTACCTGAAAATTTAAATCATCATGTCTTCAACTAAGTATTAAATTAATTTTGTTTCAATTAAATCTACTTTTAAATTTAAAAATTTATTAGAACTGATATTTAAAGCAGCAATTATGGTACAAAAAGATTTCAATTATTTTTTAGCTCTTTTTTTTAAATTTGGTACAACTAATAATTTTAAAAAATATAAGTTAGCACTCATTTTTGCTTGATAACTACTATTCTTTATAGTTACTTCCACTTTTTAATGTTTTGATATGCTCTTATATATTTTCAATATATGAAAATACAAAATATAATAAGATATATCAAGACAGATAGGAATGCACAAAGTATACTATCTATCTTTGATTTCACTATTGGCTATGACAGACTTTCTGATTGTCGTTCTAGAAAGAGAAAAAAACTAATAATACTAGTGACAATCGACATAATTTTAATACAAAATAACAATGCATGTTATTAATCTCCATAATCATAATACAATAGATCATGCGTAGTTATCAATTTACGAAAATCTGAGTACACTATAGGCAATAAAACGGTTGCTATTCTGTTATCTAGTCCAGATTCTAAATGCCTATGATTATCCATCGATCATTTTTAACAAATGATATAGATGTTGAAAACTTTTTCTATTTACATACTACTTCTTTTCTTTCCATTATTCATCAGTTTAAACGAGTTTATAGGATAATTTAGTCTAAAGAAAGTGACTTGATTAGAGTCTTTCAGACTAGTCTGGACCAGGATGAATGACACTCTTTAGAAAAGGACTAGTCGTGGCGAGTGAAGACGACGCGTCGGTATAGTCCTAACTACTATCGAAAATGTTTCAGACTAGTTAAAGACGTGTAACATCGACTGGTTTCTGATTGTTTACGGGATGGAAAGGAATCAATTTTGTATTTTAGAATGTAAATGGGCGTCAGTTCATTCCAGTGTCCTAGTCTCCCGTCAGGATGATCGTTAGGTTTCGAATACTGTCGGGTTGAATGTTCGAATTCACCGTTTATCTTCTTTTTTAAACTTCGGACTAGTTTGGACGGGTTCAACGGGCAAAACGGACCAGGCATGACGGGGTTGAAAGACATTCTAGACTAGTCCAGACGTGTTCGAAGGACATTTCTCCTAAAGGTGACTAGTCATGTCGGATGTGCAAGACGCTTCAGACTAGACCTGACGGGTATTGCGGACATTTCTGACTAGTCATGTCGGCCGTCATGCATAATTTTTTGCTTACTTGGGTTCTTCCTAGGATTCGAACCAAACATGTTCTATTTTATGAGCAATTGGTCTGAATTAATAAAAATTAGAAAGGGCATCTAAGATGCCGTTATCAATGAAGGGATTTTATTCCCTTATGAGAAGTATAGCTGTCATTCCTTCGAGTCGTATGGTAGAAACTACTAAGTAAAAACTGACTACTATCTAGGAGGGAAGCATCCTCTTCAGATAGTCAATTTTTCTTGGAAAAATTGATTGTGCATGAAGCTCATGATGTACAAGGCTCTAGGAGAAACTATCGTAGAATATGTAGCAAACAAAACTTTGACAATGTTAAAACGAAAAGTTTAAGGAAAATGTTTACGTAAGGTTCTTTGTAAAGAATTTTGTTCTCTATGTTCTAAAATGATAAATATATGAAACTGGAACAGAAGAAATGTAGAAAAGTCTCTTGGCTCACTTACAATGTTTTTGATCATTAGGTTTTTGAAATATAAAGAAAGATTTTGTTTCAGTATGTTGATGAGTACTTTGACAGTAATCAGATCGGACAATTTTAAAAAAAAACGTCGAACTGAACTTCTGATTCACATTCATTCATTTTCAAAGACATTTTGGATCACGTAGTTTTAAATTAGAATTTTTCTATTGCAGATTTAGCTTTACATGAGTCCTTCAATGCAAGATTCATAACAAATTCAAAAACTTGTTCTTTTTCTGTGAGATGACATCTTGTATCATCGTTTTAGTCTTACCTTTTAATTAAAGTTTCTATGCCTTTCTGTATTTTGGACAACGAATTTATTAAAAAGAAAAACGTATATGTACAGTAATTTCAGAAGAAAACCCAATTCATGACATCATTTATTTTATATATGAATAGTTTGTGTGTTACTTTTTGCCTTTCTTACATGTTCATATAAGAAAAACTAACTGAAAATTGCAATGGTTACTTGTGTAAAGTGAAATAAACACATAGTAAGTTGTGAATGTCTGATGCTGGTGATGGTTACAGTTAACATAAGCCCATATAAATAAGATCCATTTTTTCTATTGTTTTCAAGATAGCATTATGCTTTTCAAACGGTCGAACAATGAGAATTATTTTTCGAAAAAAGAAAAACTTATTTTTTTGTTAAAAAAAAAGATAGATCTATTAAAGAAGACAAAAAGATTGAGTAGTTTTTGTGAAAAAATATCAAGAACTTGATTATTAGAATTTCATTCATAACTTGATAGAACTTTTGGTTCTAGTATTTTTATCGAGGAATTAAAATGAGTTTATAAATCTTAACCCAGAATTTACCTATCAAAAGTAAACATTGATTATCTCTAATGTATTTTAACCAAATGACGTGAAAGTGTTTTGTTAATAAAGAACAAGCTTTCAACTACCGAGTAACCAGTCATAGAAACGATGCTAGATTCTTCCATGACAATTCCATAATCGATAATATTAGATCGTCACTGTCACGATAAAACAGAATTATCATTACTCTTCGTAGTAAATAAGAACTTTTTTGTTTTTAGTAACTGAGTAACATTTTTGTCAATAATTACCCGATAATTGATGATACCTCATCATGCATATCGCCGTTTTCTACAACTTTTGAAATAATTCGATTCTAATTGCAACACACCAAAAACAAAAAATATCTAGAAGCGTCTTAATTAAGATTTTAAATGTTCATTTTGTACTTAACCTCTCATATCTTTTCATGAACTACTTTTTCAGTGCAAAAGATCATTGTTTTAGATCGATGAAAAACGTATACAGAAGACGCAAGAGGATAAATCTAATCTTTTTGTATATGAACTCCTACAGTGTGAGAATCATATTTTTAAAAGCCTTACGGTATCTTTAAAACATTTTAATCATCACAATATTAAGAAGAATATTTTTAAAAAGAGAAACTTTTAGCTAAACTGTCTTAAGTTACTATTGATTATCTTGAAGTTCTGGAATCTTTCGAAGTCTAATAATATCTTCGGAATTCTCTTAAAGTTTTAATGTGTCCATTGTTTCATTCTTCCAACATGAATGAAAACTATATATGCCGTATATTATTACTTTCCACTCAGCTTACACTTGAAGAAAAAACAAACGCAGACCCCATTGTGCTTCATTAAAGTTGTATGCATGATTGTTACGAGTTTTCGATTTTTTTCCATTCGGTATTTTATTCTCATATTCTGAATTACGATTAGAAACTATGGTAATTTGTCAAGTCTAGAAAGACATTGATTATTACTTGACCAATGCAATACACTATGCGACAATGTTTTTAATGCCCTGTTTTAAAATATACGATTTATTTCCTACGTACGTATACTGTTTTTGTAATGAATTGAGTTTTAACACTTTAGACAAATGAAACGATATTTGACTTTTATGAGAAACAATTATACTTCCAGTGTGTTTCATACATCAACCTTTGGTATTTCTAAAATTATCCAGATTCCCATCATATGCCTAGGAATTCGAAATCCACCGATTTTCTTTGGAAAATCTTACAAAAAATGCGATTTTTGACATATTTTGAGCTCAGCTATCTCATTCGAGTTCCAAGAGACTTTAGATTTTCGTCAGTACTCTATAATTGTCTGATTTTTCCCTAGGTACAACTAAAACTCTCAAATCTATATCTTTTTGTTGAACTGAAAGGTACACTCATCTTTGGAAAGTGATTTAAAATTCTTTGCAATTTCTCATCTCCTTGAGGAAAAACCGCAGAATTCTTAAAATCTTTCTTATAGTAGGAATTCAATAGCAGATCTAGATCTTTCATACCTGAAATTTGTGTTTTATTCCAATCGGTTTAGGG